ACATCACATTTAGATGATATATATATGTATGTTATATAGCCCATGCGAGTTTAGATGCTTATATTTTTTTCTCAGTGAAGGAAATAAACAATTTGTAAGTGTAGTATTTTCTAAACATGAATACCAATGTAGAACAAGAGGTAGGTAAAAGTGAATTCAGGCTGGACGCGATGGCTCACACCTGTAATCCCAGCACTTTGGGAGGCCAAGGCAGTAACAAAATGACTAGGATTAGAACTGAATATTGCAACAATTCTTTGCTAAAAATTCTGCTTAAATTCTCTTAGAATGGTTTGTTTTCTGCTCAACTCCAAGAAAGACAGTATATTCTGGCTCACAGACATTCTAGTCAGATGAGATCTTACATGGTCCAAAAAGAAAATGATGTGATATCTGAATTAATTTGGACCACCTTGTTAAAGGTTTGCCTTGGAGAAAAGTAGAATTTGGGATGACCTTTGTAACCCCAGATGGAAGTGGATCACTTGAGGTCAGGAGTCAGAGACCAGCCTGGCCAACCTGATGAAACCTTGTCTCTATTTAAAAAAAAAAAAAGAGAGAGAGAGGGGCGTGGTGGCATGCACCTGTAGTTCCAGCTACTTGGGAGGCTGAGGCAGGAGAATCGCTTGAACCCAGGAGGTGGAGGTTGCAGTGAGCCGAGATTGCGCCACTGCACTCCAGCCTGGGCAACAAACAAAGCAAGACTTTGGGGGGAAAAAAAAAATCTTCCTGCTCCTGCTCTTTATTTATACTTTGCTAAAGCCCCATCACATCAGTATTCTTCTAGACATTTTAGACATTTATGGTGGTGCTGTAACTTCACAAATCATTTACAGAATATGTGAAATGGCTTTTATTTTGCAATAGCACTATCCCAGTATTGTTTTCTACTTTTTTAGTCGCTTTTAATACCATTCAGGGGTTATTAAGCCTGACACTTTCTCTTTGTGAAACAGCACACCCATTCAGGAACTCCTATATCTCATAGAACTATACATCTCTTGGAACCAACATTCACTTTATGAACTTTTTTCCAAAAACTTTTAAGAAATTATGAGCAGTAAAATACATGCTACTTTCTCCTAAAGCCTTTAATATTTACATGCTACATTACTGATTCATTAACAAACAAGGTTTATGTAAGTATACATATACATACTCACATATGGATATATGTATATTCTTCTTGACCACAAGGTGCTTCATATTTACATTTAAAGTAGAGACTGTTAACTCATAATTAGCCCTATGTGTTTCTATGACCCCCCCCCTTACCACTGGCAACATGAATGATAAATTGGTATTCCTATTTCATTGGCTGGATTAGATTAAGAAATAATGAGAACCAAAGGGATTTCAGTTATGCCCTGATCAAAGGGTTCCTTTCAATAACTTGTTTCTGAAATAATCTCATGAAAAAACAATTATTGTGCTCCTAAGACTTGGCACTAGACACTGGGTGTTACATATTTTAACTCCTATAATTGCCCTTTTTCAAACTCAGATCAAATTGTACATTAACAAATATAGTAATAACACTGCTAGATGTACACCTCACAGAACCCCACTGAATTTATATTCACATGACACCCTCCAGATTGTCAGCTCACTTCCTGAGAAGCATGCAACCACAGCAAGACTCCAATTACCAAAAAAAAAGAAAAAAAACCTCATAAAACACACACTTCAGATCATTTTTGTTAAATCAGAGTATTAGTTACTTGAGAAAGCACAACAAATATTCTCACTGTAAATATGAAAAAAATAGGGACAATTGCAGGGCCAGTGGGAGTAATACAGAAGACTTACATAATTCTTTTTTGAGATAGGGTCTCACTCTGTTGCCCAGGCTGGAGTACAGTGGCACAACCTTGGCTCACTGAAACTTCCACCTCCTAGCTCAATCAATCCTTCTGCCTCAGCCTCCTGAGTAGCTGGGACTGCAGGCACCTGCCACAGCGCTTGACTCATAAATAATATTCTAATGAATATAAAATAAAAGTACATCCAACAGCCTTAGAACACTAATTCACAAATCATTAAGTCTTGCAAAAAGAGATCTTCCAAGAAAATGGTTTAGTTAGAAAAAAAAACTAGTTTAGAAAAAGTACTCTGATTAACCAACTAACAATGCTGTGGCCACCCACTTTAAACAGTTATCAAATCCCTGGAGATGAAAGGCAGAACTTAATAGAGCAGAGTACAGAAAAACAAAAAAGTGCAACTAAATTGACTCACACATTACACAGAAAGCCTAACAATCCCAATTCACCTTACTTCCATGAGTGAGAAAAATACTTTTCCTTAAAATCATTTCATAAAGTGGGAATATTTTTACTTTAACATATACTTTCAAGCATTTGAAAATCAGATTTACAAAGAAACTATTGAAATATGTATTATAAAATACATTTAAATATGTGCCTAAACAGCCTTCAAATAAATTCTACCTACAGCGTTCTCATAGGACTATTTTGGAGCATACACGAACAAAGCATGAAATATCCCTGTATAGGCTGGGTGCGGTGGCTCAAGCCTGTAATTCTAGCACCCTGGGAGGCCGAGACAAGCGGATGACTTGAGGTCAGGAGTTTGAGACCAGCTTGGCCAAGATGGTGAAACCCCGTCTCTACTAAAAATACAAAAATTAGCTGGGCATGGTGGCAGGCGCCTGTAATCCCTGCTACTTGGGAGGCTGAGGCAGGATAATTGCTTGAACCCGGGAGGTAGAGTTTGCAGTGAGCCGAGATTGTACCACTGCACTCCAGCCTGGATGACAAAGCAAGACTCAGTCTCAAAACAAAACAAAACAAAAATTAGCCAGGCGTGGTGGCAGGTACCTGTAATCCCAGCTACTCAGGAGACTGAGGCAGGAGAAACGCTTGAACCGGGAAGGTGAGGTTGCAGTGAGCCAAGATTGTGCCACTGCACTCTAGCCTGGGCAACAGAGCGCAACTCCATTTAAAAAAAAAAAAAGAAAAGAAAAGAAAAAAGAAATATCCCTGTATATACTTACTATATATCATGTATAGTTCGTCTCAAGCTCTAACAGTGAAGCATCTCTCAGTTCCATAATGGAACCAACCCATTTTGGACTAACATCTGAGAGGGCCAAGGAGACAGCCCAGCTTCAGCAGAACTATGAAACAGGCTATAACTAAAATTTAAAATTTTTATAAACTAAAATTTAAAAATAAAAAATGCATTTAAATACAAAACAGCACCTGAACAAATGTAAATCTGAAAACATGGTTTAAAAGAAGAATGTATAAAAAGGGCAGTTTTGTCAAAATTTAAGTTCAGAATGATTTAAAAAGAACTGCACAGCCAAAAACACAAAATGTGATAAAAGATAGAAGTATGTATCAATTAAGGCAGTTGGTATTCACACTATGGTTTGCACTGGATGGACTACAAATACAGCATTTAACTTACAAGAGGGACCCAGAACAGAGAAGGAATTTGGATAAATGAACAAGGGATTCATTTGGCATTTAACAAACAGTTCCTGAGCAGTATTCCAGGATGTAACTGTTTAAAAGACTGACAAGGTCTCAGGCTTTCATGCACTTTATATCACATCCTTTCATCCGCCTTCCTCTCCACAAAAGAGAAGACTTGGGAGGGTAAGAAAAGATTTTTTTTAATATGTAGGTAGGACAATAGAAAGAACATGGAACTCAGGCCAGGCACGGTGACTCACGCCTGTAATCCCAGCACTCTAGGAGGCTGAGGTGGGTGGATCATTTAAGGTCAGGAGTTTGAGACCAGCCTGGCCAACATAGTGAAACCCCATCTCTACAACAAAAAACAAAAATTAGCTGGGTGTGGTGGTGGGTGCCTGTAATCCCAGCTACTCAGGAGCCTGAGGCAGGAGAATCACTTGAACCCAGGAGGCGGGCATTGCAGTGATCAGAGATCACGCCACTGCACTCCATCCTGGGCAACAGAGCGAGACTCCATCTCAATTTAAAAAAAAAAAAAATTAAAGAACAGAAAGAAAGAACATGGAACTTAGAAAACCTAAGTTCAAATCCTAACCTGACCATCACCTCAGCCTCATTTTCCTCACCTATAAGATATAGGAAAATGATCACCAATCTTATTTTGTACATGATTCTAAGAATCAAATGAGATAATATGAAAACATTAGTTAAATTAAGTGTTTATGCTGAAGGATCAAATTTCTTCTGCAAGACTCTTACAAAGAATATCACTATAGATCGCAGTCACAGAGACAAACTGCAGCTCCATAAAATTCAAGGCTTATCAAAGATGGAATGAGTTGAACCCAATATCAGAGGTGTTCACACATAGGCTTCCTGGCTTCTTGGCAAAAATACAGAAAAACACAGTAAGTTGACATACCATGTCCACAACAGTCATGGTGTCTAATATTTGTTCTTGCCCTCTCTGGGGAGTAAACAAAATAATAATTATGTATAGCATTAAATATGTTCCAGATTAGTTATTCCGTATGCATGATACAACCGATTATTCAGTGTAATTATTGTATCTGATTCAATTTACCCAACTCCTAGTTTTTCCACCATGGGTTTGGTATGAGAATTGTACAAGCTAATATAATTCCCTAGCACAAAACAGCTTCAAAAATGTTCTCTTTTCCTTTGTTACTTCTAAATTCTGTTCATGTGCACCCAACTTTCATTATTTGTTATTTATAGAGTAAGGATGTCTGATGAAATAAAAAGGAAATACCATTCACCACAATGTTATTTTAAAAAGCAAATAACCACTAAAATATTCAAAAAAATTCTGCTCAGAAAAATTAAGTTCTATGACTTTACCTGGAAATCACGTACTGATTTTTTTTAAGAATTGAAAGATACAGTATTAGCAACCTACAATTCATTCATTCTCCCATTCATTCAACAAATGGTACTAACCACTACCATGCACTATTTGTAACTAAGGGTTTTTTGTAGTTGAAAGTTTTTAATTAGATACATTCTATAGAATGCAAAAAAAAAAAATCTAACCTGGATTCTGGCTATAAAAAGGTCCTCCATTCATCTGATTCTGAAGGCTTGTTTGTGAAGTGATGGAAGGAGGGCGTCTATAGGGCAACGAGCCCCCTATTGTTGGGGGAGTATGGCGAGAGGCAGGCCTATTCATGCTGTAAAACTGTACAGGATGACCTGAAAAAGAGATAGAACATACATATGTCATTAAAAGAAAATTATCTCAGATCATTAAATACTTTATGTACAATGCCTAAATCTCAATAATTAAAAACAACAGCTAGTTTAACTAGTATCTGAAATACACAATGCAAGGTGAGTTATTGTTTGCTGATATTGTATCATAGTACAAAAGCAGAAAAGCAAACAAAACTATGATTAAGTTTGGAAAGCTGTATCTAAATAGTTTACTAATTAGGGCTGGTGCAGTGGTTCATGCCTGTAATCCCAGCACTTTGGGAGGCCAAGGCAGGCAGATCATTTGAGGTCAGGAGTTTGAGACCAGACTGGCCAACATAGTGAAACCCCGATTCACCTAAAAATACAAAAATTAGCCAGGCATGGTGGCATGTGCCTGTAATTCCAGCTACTCGGGAAGCTGAGGCATGAGAATCACTTGAACTCAGGAGGCGGAAGTTGCAGTGAGCCAAGACTGCACCACTGCACTCCAGCCTGGCTGATACAGTGAGACTCTTGTCTCAAAATAAACAAACAGTTTGCTAATTAACACTATTATTTCACTAAATTAAAAATCTGATGGGGTTTCAAAATCATCACAATTAATTAAAATTTATCTACTCCACCCCCAAAATATAGTCACTAAACACTGAAAACTAAAATCAACAAGAATGACGTTTGGGAAAGCAAGAGAAAAAAATGTTTGACACACAGTCTTATTCCAAAATAATAAATAATAAAAAACGTAAGGTAGCAAAAAAGTTTGTTTAAAGGAAAATAAAGTATTTCAACAAAAGGTTAAATGACATGATTCCAAATCAAACACTTCTTTCATTTAATCAAAAAATCTACCATGAAAGCTACATTATTTTGTCTTAAAATTAAAATCTAAAAAATTTACAATCATGAAAAAAATTAAGATATAAAAACAGGGTCAAAATATATCTTATTTTTAATACCATCCCTAAGTCCATACACAGTTATCATCAATTTCACTGTATTTTGCTCTCTTGAGAGTTCTTCCACAGCTAATGTCAACTGCAGACATGATTCCATAATCCATCAATTTCCTAATAATATAATCCACTCCCTAAACTTTACCTTGACTTCACTCCCACCTACATTAAGCTGAAAACTTTTTCTTACAGAGCACTACAGCACCCATGAGAGAGTACACCAGCAGACAAGAGAGAAGGAGAGGGCAAGAGAGAAGAGGAGGGGGATAAATAAGTAGGTGGAGAAGAAAGCAGAAAGGGGATGGGAAGCTAGAGGAGGAGAAGATGAAGGTGGAGGAGGGCAAAAGGATAGAGGAGGGGAAAGGAAAGGAGAAAGAGAAAGGGAGAAAGAGAGGAGATAAGTGAAGAAGAACCAAAAAAACACTTTTGCTAAACCCAACAGGAAGCCAGAAGGCAAAAGAATCCATTGAAGCATTTCCTGGAGGTCAGCCTACTGGAGAAAAGGGGAGAGTAGAGGAGGGGGCACTGGGGGAACAGATGATATCTGGCATATTCATCTAACCATTTGTGCCTAAGGTTATCCTGAAATTTTTTTAATTCTAAAATAAACTACTTGAAACACAGTGAGATTAAGACTTATGTAATGTATAATCTGATGAATGCTTGATTTGTTCAATTCTTCATGATCAAACACTGCAGTCATATCCTCTTCCAGGCTTCATATATCTCAGTTGAATCTTACCACCTGTATTCTACTTTAATATGAGACTATCTTCTTGGTAATTTTAAAGTAATAGAGGAAAAAAACACTTCGACAATTTTTCATCTTGTCTATTATTATGAAATGGCTTTACATGACTAAAATTGCTCTATAGGAACTGTAAGTTTATCAAGCTTAGATTCATATGGAGTCATATAGATTATAAGAGCACTCAAGACTTGTTAAAACATTTAATCATCTTACATGTGTCTCAAAAACCTAAAACTCAATTGTGTTGTATAAAATCTTAAGCACTCAAGCTTAAACATAATCCGCTATCAATTGAGAAGCCTCTGTAACCGTGATAAACATGAAAACGTACAAACGATTTAAAAGGCATAGTTATTTGAACCACTGAATACAATTATTAGCATTTCAGTAATTAATCTATAACAAACTAATACAAACCTAGGATCAAGTTAAAAACATCTGGATTAACATCATTATGAATTTTATATAGTTAGATCTAGTCTAAAACCTCACATGGGCTGGGCATGGTGGCTCAGGCCTTCAATCCCAGCACTATGGGAGGTGGAGGCGGGTTGATCACTTCAGATCAGGAGTTCAAGACCAGCCTGACCAACACGATGAAACCTTGTCTCCAGTAAAAGTACAAAAAATTAGCTGGGTATGGTGGCTCACGCTTGTAATCCTAGCTCCTCAGGAGGCTAAGGCAGGAGAATCGCTTGAGTCCAGGCAACAGAGGTTGCAGTGAGCCGAGATCACCACAGTACTCCAGCCTGGGCTGTCTGTCTCAAAAAAAAAGAGACACTATGCACACTATTAATGACAGATTTACCATTTGGGATTTTAAAAATATATATACCTAATTATCATAAACCTAACGATAAAACCTGAAACTAAAAACTTCTAGAAGAAAACACAGAACAAAATCTTTATGACTTCAGGTAAAGAGTTCTTAGATATGCCACCAAAGCACAATTCATTAAAAAAAAAAAAAAAGAAAAATAACACTTAATAAAAATGAAGAATTTCTGCTATTTGAAATACATTAAAAAAATAAATGAACAGGCTGGGCCCAGTGGCTCACGCCTGTAATCCCAGCACTTTGGGAGGCCGAGGCAAGCGGATCACCTGAAGTCAGGAGTTCAAGACCAATTTGGCCAACATGGTGAAACCCCGTACCTACTAAAAATACAAAAATTAACTGGGCATGGTGGCAGGCACCTGTAATCCCAGCTACTTGGGAGGCTGGGCAGGAGAGTCGCTTGAACCTGCAAGGTGGAGGCTGCGGTGAGCCGAGATCATGCCACTGCACTCCAGCCTGGATGCCAAGAGTGAAACTTTGTCCTCCCGCCGCCCCCACCCCCGCTCCCGCCAAAAAAAATAGAAAATAAGCAAACGAATCACAAAATGGAAGAAAATATTTGTAACTCATAATCTATAAAGGACATATATTTAGAAAGTAAAATAACTCAATGATAAGAAAAAAAACCCTATTAAAAAGATGAGAAGGAGCAAAACATTTGAACAGATATTTCACCAAAGACGATATACACATGGCAAATAAGCACATGAAAAAAATGGTCAATATCATTAGTCATTATACAGCCATTTTGGAAAACAACTTGGCAGTTTCTTATAAAGTTAAAAATTTACTTATAACCCAGCAATTCTATTCCCTAGGTATTTACCTGAATGAAATAAAAACTCAAGTGCACAAAAAAACCCATATGTACATGTTTACGGCAACTTTATTCATAAGCACTCAAAACTGGAAAAATCTAAATGTCCTCTGAGAAAGGGATAAACAAATTGTGGTACATCCCCATACAATACAACACTACTAAGCAATAAAATGTAATGAAATACTTAAACATGCAACAACATGGGTAATTCTCAAATGCATCTGGCCAAAAAAATAGATCAAAAAAGCTACATACCATATGCTTTCATTTATGTGTTATTCTTAAAAAGGCACAACTTTAGAGACAAAAAACACATCAACGGCTTACCAGGAGCTGGGAGTGGAGGGGAAGGATTGACTATAAAAAGGGGGCATGGAGGAAATTTTTGTGATGATAGGACTGTTCTATATCTTGATTGTGGTGGCAACTACGTGTCAGTACACCTTTGTCAAAACTCACAAACATACGTGGTACACAGGGTGAATTTTACTGTACATAAGTTACCCCTTAGTAAAAAGAAAAAAAATTGCTTGGTAACTCAGATACTGTATAAAAGAGACTACCCTGATATAAATTATTAAAAGGCATTTACCTTGCTTTTTGTTTCAAAAACCACAGTTAATTATCCCCTCACACAACAAACGTTTATTTCGTGAGCAGTGAGCCAGGCACCTGTTACTCAACTAATATTTAATTACTAAAACATAGACTCTCAGTTGGGGGTGATTTGTCCTTTCCGATGCATTCTTTATCAAAGCCGGAGCACAAGGAGATTCCTATATTTAACTAGTTAGTTTGGCCTAACAGTTGTATCTGTATCAAAAAACAGCCCATGTTTACATTTATCTACTGCAGAAAGCTTTTCTTTAAAAGTCATATAGAAGGAATCCCATAAGACACCATCCAAAATCCACTTTGGCTAAAAGTGTCTTTTAAAACATGTAAAGATCTTATATATGTTTAACATGTATAACAGCAAAGCTGAATGTAAATGCTATGAAGCTCTTTACTGGCAAGTGGAACACTACAGTGATTGATATGCTTTGAATCTGTGTCCCTGCCCAAATCTCATGTTGAACTGTAATCCCCAATGTTGGAGGTGAGGCTTGGGGGGAGGTGACTGGATCACAAGGGTAGTTTCTCATGGTTTAGCACCATCCCCCTTGGAGCTGTTCTTGCAATAATGAGATCTGGTTGTTTAAGTGTGTAGCACCTCCCCCTTTGTCCTCTTGCTCCTACTCTGGCCATGTGACCAGTGTGCTTCCCCTCTGCTTCAGGCCATGAGTGTAAGTTTCCTGAGGCCTCCTCAGAAGCCGAGCAGATGCCAGTATCATGCTTCCTGTACAACCTGAAGAACCGTTAGCCAATTAAACCTCTTTTCTGCATAAATTACCCAGTCTCAGGTATTTATAGCATTGTGAGAACAGACTAATACAGTGATATATGTCCAAACACATATATTTTATAGCAGATAAGAACCTGTTTACTAGCCAGCATCATTAACTGTACAAATACATTTTGTAGCAATTGAGTCTATCTCCTCCCCAATCAAAACAGATTTTAGATTGCAATTTTAAAACACTAGCCAACTTAAATAAACCTGAAATTCTTCACAAGTACATTGTCTATGAGTTTCCAATGCTGCTATAATAAGCAACAGATTCTGTTAAAAACAGACTTACAGGGGCTTTCCATTTGTTGTATCAAATATTTCCTATAAAATATACCTTAGAATTATTGTAATAGACTTTTGTTAATCATTTAACCTGTAATAAAAATATTTCTAATGACAATTTCCAAAAACTGTACATAAGGTAGCTCCATATTAACTTAAAAATCTCTAATAAATGAAATTCAAGCAATAAAAGAACATAAATTTATGCTACCCTATTGGAAAAATGTATGAGAAACTTTACCTCAATTTTCTCAGGAAATGCTAATCTCTGGTCACAGACTTTCTTAGTACATTATTCTTATTTTTTTAAATACAAAGTACAATCAAACCAAAAACAAATAAAAAATCAAAGGTGCAAGTAAGAGAATAGCCAGATGACTGGATCTGCCTGCCAATTAATAAGCAAATACTTACCTGTAGGGGGAGTGGAAGAAACAACAGGGGGAGTTGGAGAAGTGAAGCCATCAGCAAGGGTCTGGGCACCCCCAGCAGCAGCGTCTGGGGCAGTGGAAGAAGGGACAGTAGCAGGAACAAGAGGGGCAGGGGCAGATGCAGAAGTAGCAGGAAGGGGAGGAGTGCCAGCAGAGCCAGCAGGGGCTGAGGGGAAAGAGGAGTAAGAGGCAGCATTAATGAGGCAATCATATGAGGCAGGATTAGAAAAGGTATTAGAGTATTTAATGTTAGATATTCAGTGCTTAACACTAACCAAAAGAATAGAGTTGAAAAAAAGAATAAAACTTATGTTAAAGGATGTCTATATAAGCAGCAAATAATTCAAGACACTCAGGGTAACGTACAGATTTTTTCAATTCATTAAAAACAAACATTCCTTTTTATTTGAAAGCACTACTCCAGAAGAAAAGTGTTCCCTTCATATTGTTATTTTTAGCATAACATTCCGTATATAGTATACAAAACTAACATAATACACTAAAAAGCAACAGTTTTCCATTTTGAATTAGACAAATCAGAAAATAGACATATTCCAGATATCAGGCAAAAAAAAAGAGAGAGTTTTTTTAAAACACAAATCTTTACGATTTTTAAAAGGCATTATCTACTTGTTACTATAAGTAATTAAGTATGTAACATTCTATTAATGTATTTTGTGTCATGTTTTTAAAACTAAGTTTTAAGTGTGTATCTCCTCGAATCAAATAAGCAACTTTTCGGTTTCAAAGAGGGTAGCATTTTCAGAGACTACTAAATTCCAATACGTCCACTAAATTTAACTGTCAAAACTACTTTTCATTATCTGCCCAATCTTCTGTTACTAATATGATTCTCACACTCAGTTCCCACTGCGTCCGAAGACTGCACTGTCATAACACTAGCTGGAATTAAACTTGTAACTCATAACAAAGTGTGATCTGAAACCTCAAAGCAGCAACTGAGCCACATCACCAAAGGCATAAAGAGAAGTGCAAACTGAGCAAACACTTACAAATCACTAGATTACAAATAACAAATATATAAAGACTTCCCAATATTTATGATTCCTAAAGAAAAAAAAATCCTGATTATGAAGAAAGCCCACCATAATTAAATCACAAATTGAATCAAATTCAGAAAGGAAAAGTGAAGATGAGGCACCATGAATGTTTTACCTGGAAAGACACTGGGAGGAGATGGAGTAGGAACAGCAATAGGAACCCCCACACTACCACTTCCACTGTTCTCTCGACTGCTGCTCCGACTACTTGGGTGGCTCCCTCCACTACTCCCACTGCTGCTAAAGAAATAAGAGCCACCAAAACATGAGTATTTATAAACAGTAAGAGATCATCAGCACTTCCCAACATTTTCTGAGATGAATGTAGCTACAATAAAGGTAATTCAAAAGCGTTCCACTTCAAAAAAAAATTTCCTTGAGCTCCAAGTCAGTGACAGGTTAAAAAAAGTGTGTGTGTGTGTGTGTGTGTGTGTATTTTTCTTAATAAAGTTGAGGGAAAAACTGAGTTCAATAAGCTTGTTTTGACATTTTGAAAAAATTACCCAGAAATATAAGTGATAAATGTTGAGGTTTAACACATTAAAACAATATTGCCTTTTTATATTCCAGTTTAATGCCTATCTGAAGAAACTTCTTTTATAATAAAAACATTTTCCTAAACAGATTTGAGTAATTTTAATTCACAATCATACTTTGATGTACTATCCCATATTAATGTTTTATTATGTATAGTTTTTCATCTGTAAAGTTCCACCAAAAAACAACCTGACATTTCCCACATTTGGTCCATAATTTTTTTTCCAGATCAACTAAACTCTTAAAACTTGGAGAGAAGTCTGCACTTCGAGATGTCTGTTCTTTATCAACTTCCTGACTGCTCAAAGTTGCATCAGAACATGAGGAGAGAGAGGTGAAATCAGATGAGGTTTGGGAGAGGAGAGTGAGGAAAAGAACTTAGTGCTTGGAAAATGAGAGATTTACCTGAAGTAATCTGAACAGATTATGGTACTATGACCATCACATTTTGCACTGAGGTAGAGAAAATACCTGTAAGTTCGATTTCTTTGATTCACAGAAGCTGTCCTCACAGGGCTCTGCTGCGAGGGAGCCATATTACGGGTTGGGCTAGGTACGTAATCATTTGGTACCACTGGAGGACGCACTGGCTCCAGTGTGCGATAGGGGGAGTGCCGCCTACAAAAAGAAGAGCGTATGTATTGTATGATTAAGCAAGTTTCGGCACAATAAATTCAAAGAGTTGCCAGCAGTGAGATACAATTTGTAATCAGAGATAGGAAATGTGTTTTAACATAACCCAGCTACCAATTTCAGTCTTTACTAATGTATCACTTCTCTACCATTAGGGTTTTGGTGAATATTGTTATTTTTCAGTCTCCAACCTCATTTCCCTGTGCTAATGCAATTTTGTTCATTTATTCTCAAAGAGCACAAAGGTTCTCTACCATTTAAGCCAATGTTTCCCAGACCCTACTCTCTTCTTAGAAGAGTTGGAATTCTTTTAGTATCATATTGAAGTCTCCCAACTGTACTTCATGAATGCACTAATTATTCTCCTCTCCCTTCTCTCCCTAACCAAAGATATTCAAAGACAGGAACCACAAATCTAGATTTCAGATCTATAACCCCCACACTGATGATCACTACTAGCCATAATAACTCATTTCTCTTTCTATATACCAAATACATAGAAATTAAAGTATATCTGTATACAAAAATACACACTTTAATCTCATCTTCCATTCTCACTTTCTCCCTCAACTTTCACCTTGATCTCTTTTCTCTTTCCCTCCTCAGAGTTCAACATTTACAAAGGTGGGGGGAAGCGAATGACCACCACAACAGCCTTTCTATATTATTTACTTTGAACTGTAAAATACAAATCAGACTGGATTTTATTAACACGTATTTCCCACCTTTTCCCAAAATTTCCTCATAAGGAGGATGAAAAGAGGAAGAAAGGAAATATGACAGGAAACAGGATGCACATGGGGAAATTAGTGATTATTAAATTAGTTCTCATTTCTACTTAGGTTTCCAAACTCTTTATGATAAACAGTCAATTGACATATTTTAGATGAGATCTTGGTCACTAAAAGAATAAGAACTGATCAAGATGTGAAAATTAAAAAGTTTTCTTTTCCTGAAATGATGTTGCTCTACTGACTTAATGTATGGATCCCAGAGTTTCTTTAACTATTGCTCTCCTGGGGCACTCAAGTTATGGATCACTGATTTTGGATGAAATCACTTTGCAATTTACTCTACTACCCTTCAAAGTCTCCTTACATAAGTATATACATTGGTAATTAAAAATAAAATAAGGGACACTGGATGAAATCTTGGGTCAAAAGAGGAAAAAGTAATGTCGGACTTTGGATTTAAAATACTAAAAGGAAGTTCCAGCATCTCTTAAATTATAATGCAATTATTAAAAAATAAAATGGGAAACATTAATTTCTCCAACATCTAATTTTCAGACAATTTTTCCTAGGCAATAAAAATGTTTTGTTGTGGCCGGGTGGAGTGGCTCACGCCTGTAATCCCAGCACTTTGGGAGGCCGGGGTGGGCAGAGCACCTGAGCTCAGGAGTTTGAGACCAGCCTGGCCAACACGGTGAAACCCCATCTGTACTAAAAATACAAAAATTAACTGGGAATGGTGGCATGCACCTGTAATCGCAGCTACTCAGTAGGCTGAGGCAGGAGAATCGCCCAGAGGCAAGAGAATTGCCTGGGCACAGGAGGCAGAGGTTGTAGTGAGTCAACATTGTACCACCGCACTCCATTGAGACTGTCTCAAAAAAAATAACAAGTTCTGTTGCATCCAAGTAAAAATTCTTTGATAATTGAGAACTATAGAGTGAAGGCAATGACAAAAAGAAGATTTTTCTTTAAAAAAGCAAAGGAACAAAACGTGGTGACAAGGCAAAGACTATGTGGAAAAATAGGTTATAGCCATCAACTAGCAGAGTGGGTCTCAGCAACTGTGGTCCCCAAGGATCCTGCAGAACCATTGCTAATATACAAGGAAAACAAACACTGGTATATGAGCAAATCTTCAAAACTTGAGAACACAAAGTTTCATTTTTCTAGGGACTTTCTAGGGACTAAGTAACTTATCTTACTAACAATTTTGATTTAAAACCCAACAAAATCCATAAGGCACTACACATGATACAAATGTAAATGCTTCCATAGGAAAATAAAAACAGAGTTCCTCTTCATCTCTCTACCCCCACCCCTGGCAACATTATACACTACTATGCCATCTACATTCTACCTTGAAGTTTAAATCTTACTTGATCCACTAGATTTTCTCTCTCTCTAAGCAGAATTATTTTGTCTACCCCTAATAGAGTCATCCTATTCCTGGTTGGAATTTATTTTTATTCTTTGGTCTCCTACTGTCCTATTATCCCTCTTTCAGCACTATCCTCCACTGTATCTCAAATCAGTTTGTCCTATCATGATTCACAGTGCTTGACTGGGTTTTGGTTTTTGGAAGGTTTGTGGTTGTTTTTTTTTGTTGTTGTTGTTGTTGTTGCTGCTGCTGCTGCTGCTGCTGCTGCTAGTGGTGGTGGTAGTGATGGTGGTGGTGGTAGTGGTGAGGGAGCCAAAAACAAGACTGTCAATTAAAAACTTGTTTAGCATATATAATAAAGCCAATGGTTGTCAAAACATTTTGTCTTTGTCTTATACATTTTTTAAAATCCAATTTGTGGTACAGTGACCCTGAAAAGTTGATAGAGGACAAATATTACCCCCCCTTTTACAGATGAAAAAACTGAATTCTCGGCAGCTGACTATGCAGGAACTATAAAGTTACAGCACAGCTGAAACAGAATTTTAATCATCTGGCTTCTGGGCTATACTATGCCAACCTAATCATAAATCTCAATCACAATAAGCCAAGTTTATAATACGATGCTCTAGAAGAAAAAAGTCAAGCTTTTCCATTAATTGGTCATTTTTGCCAAATGTCAAATCTAGAGCCCAACTCTGTAGGACTAAAATAAAGCTCCATATTCTTCTTTTTTTTTTTTTTTTGAGACAGGGTCTCACTCTGCCACCGAGGCTGCAGCACAGTGGTATGATCACGGCTCACTGCAGCCTCAACCTCCTGGGCTCCAGTGATCCTCCTGTCTCAGCCTCGCGAGTAGCTGGGGCTACAGGTGCATGCACCACCATACCCAGCTTATTTTTGTATTTTTCGTAGAGACAGGGTTTCACCATGTTGCCCATGCCGGTCTTAAACTCCTGGGCTCAAGTGATCTGCTCACTTCCGTCTCTCAAAGTGTCTGGATTACAGGCATGAGCCACCACACCTGGCCTAAAGCTCAATATTCTTGTAGGTTTTACAGAATTTTATAATCTACACAGCTTAAAATGGATAGTTGGAGTTAAACTGTAATATAAAAGACTATATAAATTTTCTGAAAGAAAAGGAATTAAAATTAGACTGCAATTTTCAATAAATCATGAACTTGGGCTAGGATTTTACCTCAAATTTTAAATTCACTAGAAAAACAATTTCTAAACGAATCTTTTTGAACTATAAAAATGTGTTTCCCAAGAGAAGAGAAAGTTATACACACAAACAATAATCCTACAAAGAAAATGCTCTCTCTTCAAATACTCAAAAAATAATTTAAATATATGTTGTGCTTCCTTTTTAAACAATACTACATGAAATGGTTTTCAATTACTACTTAGTTATATACTCACCCAAGTGTCCCTTTCCCTGACATAGGGGGACTAGGGGGCTTCTGAGTTGGAGGTGTGGTACGCGGCAGCCCACCCATCTTCATGTTCTGGGTACTCACCTAAAAAATTTTAAGGAAAACTCAAACTTGTATGCAGTGAAATAAAGTGGCACTTTTGGGAAATAATGCTACACTACGTAACAAAGGAGGGGAAGGTTTAAATACAGGGAAAAAATTAGAGGCCATGCATTTCATATGCAATTTCTACTCTACTATTATTCTACAGTTGTACTCAAAGGACTCTTCCTAACATGAGATTTTCAAATCATTATAAACTTGTACGCAAAGACTTTATTTGCCATTAGGCCATCACACCAACAGATCACTGGTTAGACTATTTGATATTACATTCAATTAAAATTAAATAGAATAACTACAAAATTTTAGTTTTAATAAAGAGTAACTCAATCAAAAACAATAATGCTTTTAAGCAATTCCTTATTTTTAAAGATAACTTTCTTTTCTTTTTCTTTTGAGACGGAGTCTTACTCTGTCACCCAGGTTGGAGTACAGTGGCATATCTTGGCTCACTGCAACCTCTGCCTCCCAGGTTCAAGCAATTCTCCTGCCTCAGCCTCCCAAGTAGCTGGGACTACAGGTGCAAGGCACTACACCTGGCTAATTTCTTGTATTTTAGTAGAGACGGGGTTTCCCCATGTTGCCCAGCCCAGGCTGATCTCAAACTCTTGAGCTCAGGGAATTTGCCAGCCTCGGCCTCCCAAAGTGCTAGGATTACAGGCGTGAGCCACCGCACCCGGCCAGTAACTTTCTTTAGACAGCAAGCTTATAAGGAAAATATATTTCCCAAATAAAAATATGCAACTATGCATATGATCCACTGTAACTAGAGAATATAAAGATAAATCATATAATATACACAGAAAATTTTAGTTTTTTAAATTGTGGGCCAGTCTTATAAGTCAGATTTAGTTAGTATCTTCTTATGAGGGAATGACCTACCTGAAAACTGCTAGAAGCTCAAGCCAGGTTCCTAAACATCTGAACCAGAAAGTTAAGGCTGAAGTATCCCATTCAACTGGGAGCAGCACAAGGGCCACAGGCAATATCCTAGCTCCAATGGAAACTGAACCCACTCAGGCCCAAACTGAAGGTGAACTCAGGCATGAGAAAGATGTAACATAGCCCTAAGTCAGAGCTGGACCGTAACTCTACTCACTATTCTATCTCCAACCGAAAATGCAAGTGTGGGAAAGATGGGTAATCTGGGAATAATGGAGGTCACCAAAGGAGTATATCAGCACTACACAGAAAGCCCTGGCTATCTCAAAAAGCTAAGAAAAGTCACTCACAAGTGTAGTTCAAATGCAGTCTCAAGAGACTACCAATGGGTTAGTGTTTACCACACAGGTTCATATCTGATCCTATTTTAAGACCCTAATATTCAAATAATATTTGAATTGCCATCTTCAAAATATATTTTTAAAAAGGACCTCAACTTTTCTAAAAATAACGTGGCTAGAGTAGTCAAATTATACTTCCTAAATAAAATTGCAAGACATTATACCATTGAAATCAGAATACATTCATAACTGTAATTTCAGAATATAAATTTTCAGAAAGCAAATCATAATTGTATACAGAAAAGTGAGGCTATCAAAACCAACCCTGGCTTAAGGGGAATTTTTTAAAATCCTAAAATAATACTTGTTATTTGAATAGGCAAGAAATACTATCTCAAGAAACAAATTCTTCAAATGAATAGCCCAGTGAACAAGTTGCGTGTGATGTTAAAACAATCTTTAATGACAAATGATACCTTTGAAATGTCAATATTTTAAAGTGAAGCATTTATCTGTAATCCTTTTGTTGTTGCTTTTAAAGAATAAAAACAAACATTATCAAGTAAGAGTAAAGATTAACTTATCCTTGCTCTCCCTCTCATTAATAAGCAGAGGGTATACTACTCGTATCTTAAAATGAAAACGCCAGAAAGTTTTTTTAAAAAAAATCAATCCACTTTTGGGGAAAATTTTAGGAGCCATATAACAAATAATGAATAGCTTTTAAAACTGCATCTCTTAATTTCTGAAACCAGAAGATTTTTTTAAAGTAGTAACCAAAGTCCTTTAAGCTCAACCTTAAAAAACATAAAACCCAAAGTTACTTTAAGTGATGAGGGAGAAGTGAACCAAACACTAAAACTACATCAATCTGCTAGAAACAGGAAGGAAAAGGAGCAGGAATTTAAGAGAGAATTTTATTCTATACATGGGATAGCTAAAATATTTGAAAAGAGCTTTCCAACTTCTATTTGTTTTAGGTTTTGGTAAGCAAGGTGTTTTTGTTTAAATTGCAGTATCTTCTATAAGTCTTTAGACCTACCCCCCCCCCAAAAAAAAAAACCAGCATAAAATAAACTATATATTAAAATCTGGTGGACATTTCTTTTTTATTTTTTGTTTTTTTTGTTTTGTTTTGTTTTTTTTGAGACGGAGTCTCGCTCTGTCGCCCAGGCTGGAGTGCAATGGCATGATCTTGGCTCACTACAACCTCCACCTCCCGGGTTCAAGCCATTCTCCTGCCTCAGCCTCCGGAGTAGCTGGGACTACAGGCGCGCCACCACGCCCAGCTAATTTTTTATTTTTAGTAGAGACGGGGTTTGGCCACGCTGGTCTCAAACTCCTGACATCAGGTCTCCCAAAGTGCTGGGATTACAGGCATGAGTCACCACGCCCGGCCGACATTTCTATTAGTATAACTTGGTACATTTTATGATCTGTAGAATCATCAAATGACTGCATTTATTTGGTTAATGGGATTGGATGACTAACCTAAGTCACTTAAGAAACAGGAATCTCTGTAGAATGTTCAAACAATCTAATTTTATACCTCACTAATATTTCATTACCTTTCTATGAAAAGAGTTTTTCAATATTTCCTCAAGGCAGCTTTTCCCTTGTGAAAAATGTTTCTACATTAAGTAAAACAATAAACATGCTATGCAGAATATAAATACTGCCATCAAATTTGAAGAAAAGGAAGAACAGAAATCAATGCCAAACAAAATAATTTTTATAATAGGTAAAATCTATATTATAATTAAAGTTAAACTATATTTCAGAACTAAAATAATCTGGTACAAATAAAAATATATTTACTAGACAGCCATCATGATTGATCCTAAAAAAACTATTTTGAGGGAAGTATTTAAGAGATAAAACATTTCCTGACAAGTAGCAAAACAGATGAGATCTCTATGTGCTGACGGAGAGGAACTTAACAAGAGCAAGAGCGAGAGAGAGAGAGAGAGAACATATACCATAAACTCAAGACAAGGAAAACAAAGCAATACTGCAGCCACTTCATAATAGCAATTTCACTTGAAATATTTTTTAAAGTTATAAACACAGCAGAACTATCATCAGGCACATAATAACAGTTTAGGGAATTATGATATCAATGATAATTTCGTTATGTATTTTTTTTATTCCATAAAATGAACAGTCCTCAAGAGCTAAGTGAAGCAGGTATTAGGTACAAGAAAGAAAAGTTGGAAAAGTTCCCACTTTTTCCCTATCAGAGAGAAACCTCCAAAACAGAAGAAATATTTCATTTAGGTGATGAAGGTTAATGCATGGCCACAGCTCAAACACTTTCCCACTGGGTTATGATGAAGGAATGCAAATACCACCAGAGGTAGAAGCAGTTCCTTTATGACTAGGCCTTGGAGATCACTACAAACTGGCATCATCCATTAAGCCAATTATTGTGACTTAATGCCTTTTGTTTGTTTTTTTTTTGAGACGGAGTCTCGTTCTGTCGCCCAGGCTGGAGTGCAGTGGCCAGATCCCAGCTCACTGCAAGCTCCGCCTCCCGGGTTTCCGCCATTCTCCGGCCTCAGCCTCCTAAGTAGCTGGGACTACAGGTGCCCGCCACCTCGCCCGGCTAGTTTTTTTTTTTTGTATTTTTTAGTACAGACAGGGTTTCACCGTGTTAGCCAGGATGGTCTCGATCTCCTGACCTCATGATCCGCCCGTCTTGGCCTCCCAAAGTGCTGGGATTACAGGCTTGAGCCACCACGCCTGGCCTGACTTAATACTTTTTCTACAATGCTCCTACGTATCCTGCTCTACCTGCTTTGGTACATTCAATACCTCCTTGAATACTGATATAATATTCACTACAAATATCATGTCTGGACAGCCAAGTATCTCTAATTCATAGAAGACATCACCTCTGCTACGAAATCTCCCAATAACAGACGACCTACTACAACAGAACAGTGGCAGACACATCCTAAAATGTTATATGTGGTATACCCCTCATCTATTCATCTCCTACCAGACCTCTAGGTACAAGAGTAAAGGCATGTGGGGAAAAAAAGGAGACAAAATGGTCTATAAAATGATTTCTCTGCTTTAAAGGTATTTTGAAATAAATAAGACTCACATGCTTAAAATAAACAGCAATGTCTGACTGGGCATGGTGGCTCATGCCTGTAATCCCAGCACTTTGGGAGGCCAAGGAGGGCAGATCACCTGAGGTCAGGAGTTCAGAGACCAGCCTGGCCAACATGGCAAAACCCTGTCTCTACTAAAAGTACAAAAATTGGCCGGGCGTGGTGGCAGGTACCTGTAATCCCAGCTGCTCAGAAGGCTGAGGCAGGGAGAATCACTTGAACCCGGGAGATGGGGGTTGCAGTGAGCCATAGCACCACTGCACTCCAGCCTGGGTGACAGAGTGAGACTCTATCTCAAAAAAAAAAAGAAAAAAGAAATGTCTACAGATTCTATAGAAATTTACAAAAAAAAAAAAAAAAAAAAAGACATATCAATGTGAGAAGAAAAATCCTGAGCTAGTTTTTCTCTATGAAACCTCCCCTAACAATTTCTTCAACTTGTTAAGTTTTAAAAGAACAGGATTCCAGACTGGGCAACACAGCAAGACTATGTCTCTTTAAAAAAAAAAAAAAAAACCTCCAGGAGGGGCTGTAGTCCCGCTACTTGAGAGGCTGAGGCAGGAGGATCACTTGAGCCCAAGGATATAGCGAGCTACCATGCCACGGCACTCTAGCCTGAGCAACAGAGCAAGACCCTATC